ATAATAATAATAATAATAATAATAATAAAATAAGTTAGTATTGCTGTATCCCCAATAGCTGTATTGGTGTCTAAATTCTGTCAAAGACGTTTCTCAGCATTATCAATATGAAGAAAGATTATGCAAAGCCCTTTCGTAGTTTCATGAATCCCGACATAATTTAGCTTTCAAAGTGAAAGACCAAGCAGCAGAAGAAAAAAAAAAGCTTTAAACTGTCACCTTTCAAATAGATATAGTCTTTGCAGTATTGTATTTAAATCTGTGGAATGGTCAGGGATGACAGTGTTGAAGTCCATAGCTTTGCTTCATGCCCTTAGAGGCGAAGCTCTGTGTCGTTTTTCCCAGGGGGAATTTCGTCCATGGATGTGTGAGCGCCTTCTCTCGTCTGTCCCAGTGATGATGCAATGACATCAACTGCTAACGTGGCAGTAGCCTCCACAGCTTCAGGACTTGCCCCAAGGTCAGGATTTACTTCTACCATGTCCATGACTGACAGCAGACCTGCACACCAAGATGATGACAAGTTAGATTCGAAAGCCAGACAGTCAAAGACCTTTAAGAAATCTAGAAAAGACCAAAGGAAATGAAAGCCATAACTGTAGTGATCTGTACCTGTGTTATGAATTTCCTCTGCGATGTAGATTCCCTCTCTGTAGGTCAGACCTCCATTTACCGGTGTTCCTGTGGCGGGAGCCAGAGACGGGTCGAATGCATCGATGTCAAAGCTCAAGTGTATTGGTCGTTGTTTTCTGTCAGGATGGTAATAAAATTCAACATCTCAGTTCAAACATCTATAACTGTTTTTTGTATAAATTAAAAATTGAAAAATTAAGAACATTTTTAGTGTTATCATTTTAAAATCTATTATAATCACAATCTATTAATAATAATACCTTGCCAGAAGATGGTCGAAAGTGACTTCCATGACCCTTTGGATGCCTAGTCTGTCGATATCTCTCATGGTGAAATACTGGATACCAAAGCTCTTGAGGAATTGGCTGCAATGCACAATTTTAAAACACATCAAGACCTATGTTTCAGAGTGCACCCCAGTTTCGTTTACTAAAACGTTTTAAATGTAAGTACTTACTACTCCCCAGGGTCAACATCCCGCAGTCCAATGTACACCAGGTCTCTTGAGCTGAGAAATGGCTTAGTCCAGGAGAACCCAGGGATATCTGGCATCTGGTGAGTGAAAAGAGGTTGTTTAATATGTCATACAGGATACTAAAAAAGCAATAATACTTTTTTAAATTAACAGAATCCCTTTTGTAAGTAGTGTTTTAATATATCTTTAGTGAAGCTGAATGTTTTTCCTCACCTTGTCTTGCAGCTCTTTGAGCATGAATGCCACAGGTTGGCCATGGAGGTTTCCTGAAGGGGAGGTCATAGGGGTATTGATATCTGCATGAGCATCAACCCAGATAAGGCACAGGTCAGGACTATGCTGGGCATGGCCGCTCACTGATCCAACAGCAAGGCTGTAACAGATGTAGAGCAGCTTTAAAGATATCTGTGCAATGGATTCATAATATTAATACAAACACTGGACTTGTTGTACAGAGTAGGCTATCTTGTAGTATTGCCAATATTTTCTGTTCCTACCTGTGATCACCTCCCAGCATAAGAAGAGTGTGGCCAGCACTGACAGCATTCCTCACTGCTGCAGACAGCTTTTTATTTGCTGCACCCACAGTCCGCGGGAACTTTACATCCATGTAGGGCTCATCCTCCTCCAGGTGTTGGAAGTTCAGATCCCCAAAGTCATGGACAGAAAAGTCTAAAAACACAACAACAAACATCCATACATTTAAACTACTTTGTGCTGTGTCACATTTGCTGCAGTTTAAAATGACTCATTGAACGGGAGTGCACTATTTTCTCAGGAAATCTGAACAACGGAACTGGTAACCTGACGGCTTCAAACAGCCTGAGGATTTGTAATTAGCAGACGTGGTATGTGCAGGTGTCAGTTAGGCAGCCTACATAATCCGTAGCTCCCGTGACTTAACACGCGTTTCTCTGACCTTGCACTCTCATGGGTTTGAGTCATTCAATGCCAGTGGAACTAGTGACGGAGCACTTTCCATTAGTCTTGTTTCCCACATTGGGTCAGGTTTCAGTGACTGTAGTTTGCCTTATACTACGTGGTTGCAGAAGATTTAAAAGTTTAGATATAGACTGCGAAGTAAACAAGTGAAGTGTTTCACCATATTAGGGTTCATCCAGCTATATGAGCCTTGATGGTAGTGTAGTATTACTCTGCTGATCCAAGGGTGACCAATGCGGTTCATGACCATTCGTAGACAGGACAGGAATAGCCCTTGTTTGATGCAACAGTGAGCATCTCTTGCAAGACAATTCATAAGTTTGTCAAAGGGATGAGCTTTTAAATTTTAAATGCAAGATTACAAGCGCTATTATTCATATGTAAAGGCATGTTAAATGTTTGTAAATGCCAGTGATTATTGGTTTGATTATATCTATATATTTTTAATTTAAACAATTTGTACAAATTGACAGGAAACCTAGAGAGTGTGAAGATGTAAGAGTACATGGCAGCTACTTCTCTTAGTGTTTGGTTTCATGTGTCCTCCTCTGTTAGTGACATAGCAGCTAGATCTTATTTCATTGCTGCCAATTTGGCCACCAGGGAATTGATTCCTGGCCAACATTTTACATTAGATTACATATATTCAGGTTTTATTTTACTTTTTATAAACCACCTTGTGATAAACATCAAGGTTGTTACTATAAAACTTACAACAGTATCTTTGAGATTCAGCAACGTAAGAACAAACTGATGAGTGTGTGTATATATATATACACTCATTTGATACAGTTCAAGGTATTTTGGACAATATAGTCATATGTAATTGTGCAGCTCCACTTAGTGGCCATACAGAAAATGAAAGTAAGCCAGTGACGCACTGTATAATGTATGTGTAACACAAAGGGAGCGCTCTTCCCTTTGCACAACATGTTTACGCCTCATGAGCTGATGTGTGGAACAGAACAAACTGGATTACCTGGGTAGTTAGGTAAGGGAAGTTAGGAAGTTACAACCTAAAGGCCTGCATTAAGCTGCCATTGTCACACACCTTCATTGGTTTTTCTGTTATATTTATAGAGGCAGGAGCAGTTTGTGGTGCAAATGGGGATTCTGGTGAGCTAGGAAGTATCACGACAGCAGATTTCCATTTCATGTTACTTTTTGGGCAAAATTTTAAGACATTACTTTGGACATTTTGAGTATATTTATTAAGCATAAAACAGATTAATTTGAACTACCTTTACTACAATAATTAATGGAGGCCATCATGATTTACATTGTGTTTGTTCCATGCACAATATTAATCTACATTAACCTGATCACTCCAAAGGTAATTAACTATGTCTGGTTCACAGATAGAATTTAAGTACCCTGGGATAGCTGTGACCTTATCATGGCCTGTTAAGAACTGGCAGGCCCTCCTCTCTTTATTCATGAATCCTTAGTGGAATTTCAATAACAATGGCACCTCGCTGACATGCGCACAGAGGGGGTTCTTTTCACCTGCTGTGCCTTTCACGTTAAAGGTACCACTTCTTTTCACACCGGACTGCGTGGTTGTTTTCATTTGGACCACATAAAAAGTAAAAGTGTCTGTCACTGCAGTGACGACATAATGGAAATAACACCGTCATCTTCATTCTGGGCTCTTACGAGCATGTGCCAGAACGGCGGTGGGGGGTTGGGGCCAAGAATGAATGAGCAATAGGTGTAATTTCTCACGAGAAGAGCGAGACGCCGGCGTGCCATGTTGACAGTTATCACAATGTCCGCCTGTATTGTCTCGTCTTTCCGTCCTATGCATGAGTTTCTAGCCATTATACAATAACATTTCGACGAGGATTAACATCAAACATCGGAGAGGATGTTCGAGGTTTCTCTCTTTGACTGGCTTTAATATGGCATTAAACATGCACAAATATACATTCGGGAGCCTATAAATAAGTCTAGTTTTACATCCTATTTTATTACACGACGTTTTATCCTGTAAAACTAATGACGAAAGCCTCAAACTGGACTCGCGCGTAAATCACTTTGTTCTCCGAAACATGTGCACCAAATCTCTCTCATTGGTTACATATCATTTGTTTATATTTACTTTCTCCCGATTATGTAACAGACTGACTGACGACCGAGCGCTGAAGATATGTCTGTCTAAAAGTCTGCCGGGTTAAGTTGCAGGTTACACCCACCGACAAGTTACATAACCCAGCACCACCGGCAGCTCCAAGATTACGACACTTACCAAAATTTGAAAGCCTCTCCATGAGCCCCGCATCCCTGATGACTTTAGGGCCATGCTCCACACCTCTCTTTTTCTGTAGGGAAGAAAACATGGGAGTTGTTAAACTGTTAAAGATGATAGGCTCTTTAAAAGTAATGATAATACTAAAAAAAAACCTCAATATCTTACTTGTCCTTTTGAAAACGGAGCGCCAAGCACGGCCACCGAATGAGCTCTGCTTTGCTGGTAAGTATGGTTGAAATGACGGGAAGAGTGGGAAAGACGGGAAAGTGCTCCTCTCAAAGCCATTCTCGGAAATTAAAAGTCGCCCCGGTCACAATGAAACCGACTCGGAGTCTGACGAAAGCTCAGTGAGATGTTGCGCCCGAGGATGCTGAATGTGTCGTTGGTGCAGGAAAGGCGGTCTTTATGACTCGTCAATCTACTGAATATTTATGAGACTGTGACTCCGACAACGAATACGAAGAGATCTCCTCTTAATTCAGTCATAAAATTAAAAAAAAAAATCTCTGCCACCTACCATAAAAAGCGTAATTTCTTTTAAGCGTTTGCAATGTGTTATGAGTTTTTATTACCGAGGCACGTCTTGATATATATATACAGCGTCTGACGTCAGGTTGAATGACACACCTTCGTAGTAGCCAATAGCAACTATGGAAGGAAGTGGGTTCGCTTTTAGGCGTGTCCTGGAAACTGATGTGGGCCAAGGGGTGTTTTGTGAAATGTTGGGACGCACTGCTGCAGTGTCATCAAAGTGGAAATTTCCACAGACGCAGCGTAGTGTAATGATCCGCTTGTTTACATTAAACGCTCTTGACCGAGGTGTTTGTCCACGCGTGTTCTAAAGCTCCTGCCAAAACATATCCCACTTGATTTCTGGCCAACATAAAAACATGTTATTATCTGGGTTAGTGTATTATTACGGGGTTTATCTTTCACCACCGCAAGAAATTTCACACTGTAAAGCAATAACAGAATCTCAAGTGCAAGTTATCATAGGCAATTAACTGAAAGTAAAATGGACTTAAACAGCAAAGATTTCTAATAAATATAACGAGCGATTGTTTTATTATTTATGTGTATTTACTTGATGAATTGCAGTTAGTTTATAATTATAATTTTATTTTACAAGTAAAGGAACACAGTGCTTCGCGGACTTACTCTGTTTCCTGTCGTTAAAGTGAAACTGCGGTTTATTACTGTTAATTCGTTGTTGTAGTCTTGTCAAGCTATGATGAATCCACTATATCTTATCTTTATGTACTCGGATTTTCTTCCAAGCACGATGCACGGCGTTCAGCTGAAATTATTTACATCACAGGCAACACAAAGATAGCTCGGAATCATTAACATGGGCTATTGTGGGTACAAAGTAGTGCATTTCTAAACTTCAAGCCTAATTGCAAATCCTAACCCTAATCCTCACCCTAACCCACTGAGCGGTTCTAGGCGAATCAAGTGCAAGAGTTTTTCTTCTGACGTCATTAGCCCACCTCAGATGCATGACTGTGGCATGACTCAGTGAACAAAAATGAACATACTGTACTACGAAACAGAGGTTAATATTAAGGTAACTTCGTGATTAACCCTGTGGTGTCTGTACTATGAAGGAGGTTCACGTCTTAACAGGGTATATCACTATGGTAACTAATGAGCAAGTATGAAATCCCTGCCAAGTAATAAATTTTCACTAGCGTCTAATTTTTTTGCGTCCAAGATAACTTGATCCTATGATCCTAAAGCATATATTTGTACTTGCAGACCGTAGGGTACATAAAATTTGGACGCAGACACCCAGGCTAGAGCTGGGGTAATATAAACTAAACTGTCATTTAATAAAATACTCGATTGTGAACCATTAGATTCTCTTGTTGTAATATAGCTGTCTGTTAACTCGAATAGATGGACAGCTTTCTTAACGGGCTTTAAACAAGCTGAATTTTATTAATACGGTAGCTCCGCATTCAGATAGTACAGGGTGGGCCATTTATACACCGTAATAAAATGGGAATGGTTGGTGATATTAAAGTCCTGTTTGTGGCACATTAGTATATGTGAGGGGGCAAACTCCTCAAGATGGTTGGTGACCATGGTGGCCATTTAGAAGTCGGCCATCTTTGATACAACTTTTGTTTTTTTCAATAGGAAGAGGGCCATGTGACACATCAAAATTATTGGTAATGTCACAAGAAAAACAATGGTGTACTTGGTTTCAAAGTAACTTTATTCTTTCATGAGTTATTTACAAGTTTCTCTTTGTTCACAGCCATTGACATGTCGAAGAGGTTAACACGTGAGGAGCGGATCGAACTTGTGTTGATATCTGGTGAACGCAGTAACCGGGTCATTGCAGCAGATTTCAATGCAAGACACCCTACAAGACCACCCATCTCCCATGCCACAGTTAGCAAACTGCTTGCTAAGTTTCGTGAAACTGGTTCAGTGTTGGATTTGCCAAAATGTGGACGCAAGAAAACTGTCACTAATGAAGAAACATCAGTGGCTGTCCTAGCTTCATTCAGCAAGAGCCCACAGCGTAGCACTCGCCGCATGTCACTGGAAAGTGGCATTAGTCGAACATCCTTTCGGTGGATATTAGCTACTCTACTCACAAATGGCACCCTCACAAACTCCAGCTACTGCAGCATCTCAACGAGGATGACCCAGATCGGCGCACAGAATTTGCAGAATGGGCAAAACAATAATTGGAACAGGACCCCCAGTTCATGTAATCTGTATTTATACACGTGTAATGGCAATAAAGATGAATCCTAAATATTTTTCTTATCCTCAGTAAAATGTAAAATTGGAAGTGAAAATAAAAAAAGTCCAAGGCCTCTCTGTCGTTGCACAAACAAATTAAAAGGAACTTTCACGTGATCGAAATGAACACTTGGGTGGCACCGAAACATGTTTGTTTTCTCTCAGCAAATAGTCTACAGTCACGATTTTGCTCTTGAAAGAAAATAAAGGAAACGAAAGGGAAAGTACGATTGTAACATCACATGAAGACATGCTATTTCATGTCAGTCATGCCACTGAGATACTCATCTTATCATCTTCCTAGTTCTGGTAAGGCTGACCGTAAGCGAATCCAGATAACAAAAAGATAGACTGGTTCTTGTAAAACAGGGTCCTGTAGTTACAAATTTACGAAAGTAAGACTTTAGCGCCACCAAGCGTCTAAAAGTAGAGATACAAAAGTTATATTGTTCTTTTTTTAGCCCTCAGTAAGGCTTGCCAGGAAAAAACTTGGATTTGATTGGATTTCATCCTGATGTTCTGGGTCCTATTTGGACAATTATTGGAGACTAGGGACAAACCCAAGCTGGGACTTGAAAATTCTTTGTACTTTGAGTACTGTGCAAAAGTCTCATTTCTTCATATTTTACTAGGAAAATGAGAAGTAAGTACAGCAATGACTGTATCATTAGTTACAGACCATTAGGAACAAATTTTAGGTGGGCCCTTGCCGATTTATTTTCATGGGCAGGCTTTTTTCTTCTTCTGTGTCTTCTGTACAGGAACCTGTTGTTTTCAGCAGCACTTGTGAGTTCCTGTACTCTTCATCTGTTGCACTTGTTGTGCTTGTATACAAAACTAAAGCTCAGAAACTCAAACAGGGCATCCTAAAAGCACACATTCATGATGTGTCCACTTAAAAAAGAAATAAATGCTTGTACAATTCTAATGTGCTTACGTGTTTGTGGGGTTGTATGACCACCTTTATTCTTAAACACAGGCTGAACATTCTCAGGTAAGATTTCTTGTCATTTCTTTAGGTAGCCTTCAGGAATAGTTCTCCAGGTTTCTTGAAAGACATTCAAAGTTCTTCTTTAGATGTCGGCTACTTTTGTTCTGTTCTCTGTCAAAATGATCCCACACGGCTTCCACTTCCATTCCACTGAGATATTTTCTGATGAGGCTTCATTCGAACAGCAGCTGGATCAACTGAAGGGCTTGATGCGTCTCTCAGGTCCTGTATCTGGTCTTTGCTGGAATTATTTATCTGTTTCTTAAGGACATGATATTCAGATACTGTTCATTTGCTTTAGATAGATTTTCTGCAAAACATGCAGAGATATGCCAAGTTTTCAGCTAATATATATATCTTTTTGTAAATCATTGCTGTTTAAGTTTGTCAAACTGTGTTATCTTTGGGATTTTTTTCTTTCTTTTTTCTTTCTTTTATTTTTTTATTAAAAATTACAATAAAATCTGCCTCCTTAGATGCAAAATACAGAGGAATGTAGGATGGCTCAAGGCTTTTGCACTGTATATAACTAGACACATAGTGTATAGTAATTTGCAACAAATTATAAATGTTATTCTGATTGTATCAGTCTTAATTTTCATTAACTAACAATGTAATCCACATTTCTCATAGAAAACATTTACAAAGTGCGTAGCTGTGGCTACAATGTAGCTTGCCATCACCAGTGTGTGAACAGGTGGATGACTGAATGTAGTGTAAAGCGCTTTGGGGTCCTTGGGGACTAAGTAAAGTGCTATACAAATACAGGCCATTTACCATTTACTACACAAATAAATATGTATATTTAATTTGTTCTATAAGCTAATGTCTCTAATTCTATGATCAACCCCTTTTTATATTTTAGAATCCTTTGTCATATTTTTCCCTCTCTATTTTTTTCCACATTGAAAGCAAAGTTCAGATAACTGTTCTGGGGTTTTTTTGGGTTTTTTTTTAGCACATTTGTAAAGTCCCGTTATTTTTTATTTAGGACACGCGGGTGTGTTTCCTGCCTGCCAGACTAAAAACAGGGCAACAAAGAAAACGTGTGACGATGTCTTCCCATGATTCATTTCGGAAAAGAATCGGTCCCAGTTATTTGTATCCGTAGAGGTTCTCGTTGCTCACCGATGAAAATTACAACGCTAATCATTAGCGTTGAGCTTTTCTGTCAGTTGACTTTAACTGGGCTTTATTTGGACAATTAACTCCGTAATTAGGCTCCAGTTTTATTTTACTCTTGGTGTACCGGGTAGGTAAATCCGTGCTTGACCGCTGCAGCTAATATTTAGCAGCAAGGCCACAGAGTAGCGTTAGCCAGTCTCAGCTAATTTAGCTAGTTAATGTAGCTGCTTTTACGTGGGTGAGCAGATATCCTACCTGCTCAGTTGGTCATACTAACGATCATTTTGTCTATCCTTGTGAAAAATACTACTGTCATGATCTTAACAAAAGCCCGAGGACATAAAGAAATGTTCCTCTGATGTTTTGCTAATTTGCTAAATATCTTTTCTCCTCTGTAGGTAGGTAGGTTTCTGGAGTCTTCAGGATGTCGTATCCTCCTCCGATAAACCGCCAGCAGATTGGTATCCCACAGTTACCACCTAGGATCCCCCCTCCACAGTATGCAGGCTTTGCTCCTGCAGTCCCACCAGGTATTGAAAAGTTTTTTAAACTTGCTCTGTAGCCTTTTTAAGGAACACACTGTGAAGTGGCAGCTATGTGACATTCAAGGAAAAGCAGCAGGGTGATCTAAATCTACAACCACATAATGTGGGTGAAGCATCAGTTGACGGTAGAATTTCTTTGAAAATGAGTGCACATAGATAACTGTTGAGAAGTAAGATACCTAAAGGCCCAATAAACTGACATAACTTAATACCCCAGAGAGAGAGAGAGAGAGAGAGAGAGCGATTGAGGAATGTTACAGGAAAATTACCTTAACATTTAATATTCAGAAAATTAAATGTTAAAATTGCAGATCACTTTTTTTGTTATTGGCTTTGGGAATTTTACATGCAGTTATGTATGTTATCTGTTATAATATACATAACACCTGACTGAGTGCTGTATTTTGTTTCTGTTTTCAGGGACTCCTATGATACCGGTTCATATGGGTGTAGTGACCCCCACACCCACAGTGAGTTCGAAGCAGGAGCATTCTGAATAACCTACCTACTATTAAAAACATACTTGCACATATTAACAATGATGCCTGGTGGAATTCCTTTTTTTAAAATTATTATTATTATTATTATTATTATATTATATTGTTAAAGAATAAAACCCCTATGCTCGCCATCGGTTGCTTGTTGTATTTGCATTTTTTTTGGTTTGCTTTGGTGTTACTCTGAATAAGAGTGACATTTGCATACATCAAATTTATTTTGCAGGTGCTCGTTCCAGCCACAGTTGCTGTAGCACAGAAGCCGATGACTCCGAAGAAAGAGCCTGGCACGATCAGAGCCAAGGATACGGAGGACGGTGGCGGCCCCACCACCACTGTATTTGTGGGGAACATTTCTGAAAAGGCATCTGACATGTTGGTCAGGCAGCTTCTGGCTGTAAGTTTACTGTTGCTCAACTGGAATAATCCGGTTAATGTACGTTAGTGATCTTTTCATGTGAAACAATTATCAATTTGGTATAAAATCTGTCTGCAGCTAGACAAAGCTTATTTTTTTATGAGAGCACTTTAAATATAGAGGTTGCAGTCATAATAATATTTAAAAGATGACAGTGGTTCAGGAGTTGCAGGTGACAGACATTTATTCTTGTTTTAGTCAAATGCAAATCTCCAACGTATAATAAAAGTAAAAAGGAGTGAGGTTTTCATCATATTTAATCACAAGTATTGTTATAGGGATACAACAATAGTGTTTTATATGTGATCATTTACTTGTTAATTATTGTAATTATCTGGACTACTAAACACAAAAAATCCTTGTTTTCTGTTCTCTTTGAATATAGAAATGTGGTATTGTTCTAAGCTGGAAAAGGGTCCAGGGTGCCTCTGGGAAACTTCAAGGTAACAGCACAAAAACAAAAGCACATTTGAAACCTTTTTTGGTGTTTGTGCATGGGATGGTGCACAGGGATGACACTCCTAGAATTTTAAATCCTGTTAAGCATACTTACCCTCTTATTTATCATGCTTAAAGACCTATTTTCACATGTTAATTTTATGTATGTGGTTTTTGGTCATTTCTCTGGTATAGTCAGTCAATCAGTGATTTGGAGAATTAGGACATTTGAAATTGAATGTCAGATTCTTGTTTTTCCCCATATGTTTACTCCATTTTTTTTTACCAAAAAAAGTTATCAAATATCTTTGTGAGCTGAATTTGAAAACCTTGTGAACTAAGTTTGTTTTCGTCTTAACTCCTGCAAGCTTTTGGTTTCTGTGAGTATAAGGAGCCTGAATCCACACTGCGAGCCCTCAGACTCCTGCATGAGTTGCTCTTGGGTGATAAGAAGCTGTTGGTGAAGGTCGATGCCAAGACTAAGGCTCAGCTAGATGAGTGGAAGGCCAAGAAGAGGAGTGCAAATGGGGTATGCTGCTCATCTGTCTTTTATTTTGACTGTTCCTTTTCTTTTGGAAGCTACATTTAGAGGTCACCACAGTGGCTCATCTGCCTCCATCTCATCATATTCCTAGCGTCCTCCTCTTTCACACCAACCCACTCCATTTCCTCTTTTATTAAATCCACAAACCTCTTCTGAGGTCTTCCTCTTTTATTCCTTCCAACTTAGCAAGCTGGCAGCCTTACCTCTCTTGTCTCCAAATCTTTCTCGATCTAATCAATAGGGAGTCGGTGGCAGCGGGAAAAACGGGGATGAAGACGAAGAGGAGGTTCTTGATGAAGAAACCCTGCGTAGAGACCAGGCTGTGAAGGGGGCAATAGATGTCCTCATCCGAGAGTATGCAAGTGAGCTTAATGCTCCCTCACAGGATCCTGACAGTCAGCCTCGCATCAAGAAGCGGAAAGAGAAGAAAGAGGAGGTAGTCTTTGCATGATGCACACGGGGAGGAGAAGGGGCTGGAGCATGGCTCTGGCTGTTGTAGTATTAAATTTTTTTTTGGAGTGCTTAGTGTGTTTGTTTCCTTTCTCTCTTCACTTTGTGTAAGGAGGATATCAATGCCATGGAGATGGAGGATGACAAGAGAGACTTGATTTCCAGAGAGATCAGTAAATTCCGGGACACACACAAGGTAATGTATCAGACTGCTCTTGTTACTGTGTAATTTAGGTTTTGAAGAAGAAATCCTCCACATTTGTTAGTAGAAATTCCTCTAACGCAAAATGGATCTGCAGTTTAAGACTATTCTGTTTCTGTCAAACAAAGTCTTTTGGTAGTCAGTAAGTTCTTAGAGTAGCTAGTGGAATTCAAAGGGTACAGAACGTAGTTGATGTTGATTTATGATCCATTAATACTTCAGCCACCGATTGATTACTTTATAGTACATGTCAGTATTTCCAAACTGGCCACGAGTTGTCACTGTTCACAGTACTGATTGAGACTAAAATATTTCGCTCTTCACAAGCTAAATTCATCACACAGAGTGCATGGACACAATGTGAAATTCCAACCAAAGCTAATCTATTGATTAAACCCCACCAATATGGTAGAGTTCATTTGGTGACTAGAGCAAGATGAATCTCAGAATCTCAGCTTTGGGAAAAAGTTGCGAGGATAGGATGTAAGTATGATCTTTTATTTCTTCTCTACTCATTTTGGGCGCTCCCTTCTGGAGGGTTTGCAGAGGGGCAGCTGGCTCTCAGTCGACTTGCACTAAGGTTGTCAAAAAAAGTGATGCTGGACAAATTCCTAGCAGGTTGTGATTACAGTGAATCATGTTTAAGAAGGTCGGGCAGCTCAGTGAACCTCTGCATGTCCTCATATGATAAATAGCGTGTTTGAAAAACACACAGAGCCTGAAAGAGCCTAACCACTGCAGCAGTTTGAACTGCAGCCTGTAGTATTACTGAAGCAGGGAGCGCCCCTTCACAGCACTCTGCGGTCTGAAGACTTGCAAGGTAAGTAATTGCTTTGCTGTTTCTGTTTTGTTTTGTTTTGTTTTTTTTGTTTGTTTTTTAACCCTTAGAAATTTACACCACAATGAGACAATGCATAAATAAAGTATGCAAACATAAATAAGGAGGAATAAGCTGCAGGGATATTTTAGTATGAATACCATTCAACTGTTTTCTTTGTCGCTTTTTAAAACAAGGTTCTCTTATCAGTAGTATGCTATTTTTAAAAGAAGTTATAGGGCTACTAACGAAACCCAAAACGTTGTGACTTTGTACTGGAACTGAGGACAATTGATGTTATATACTAAAAAACTTCCATCAACAAAGGGGAACAAGCCTCACACCACATCAAACACACAGTATGTTAGGAACCTGCTCATGGCAATGTTTTAAAATTGTTTTCCAATTAGTATGTTTCAAACTCACTACTAACTAGTTTAATACAGGAGGTAAGTTGTAGGTAGGTTAGGGAAAAACTGTTTCAAAACAAATAATGTGTATCTGTCAAAGCCCTCCCTTCGGAGCGAAGGTAGAAATGCTAAAATGGTGTGCAGACTTTAGCAGACTTGAGTTAAATTACAGTTTTGTAGTTTCCTCCTCTGTGGTCCTTTTTTTTTTTTTTTTTTTTTTTTTTTTAGTTAATAGCTGTCAGACCCACATTTAACATGTGGTAGTTTATGTTGTTAACCAGTCCAGATCCACAAAGCTACCAGCTGGTATATTTTTTTAAAAATCAGCCACAGGTCTGTTTGAACTGTGGGTCTGACTCTGAAGGGTTTATTTTTTTTACTTTTTTTTTTTTTTTTTTTAAATTGGGTTGGTGAGACCAGACAGACACCACAACCTGGCGGTAAGACTGCTTCACTAATTTCTTTGTGGCAAAATGAAATGCAGTATCTGATTTGCATTGACTTTAAAAACAAACAGATGTGGATGCTATTTATGTGGATGAGTTGTAATAAGATGAAACTGCTTCGCAGGAATCGTTTGGACTTCTTTTTTTTTTCCTGATTATATTGACTTTGCTCTTGACCTGCTTTTCCTTCTACATGTAGCCTGTAGGATGTGTAGGGGCAGAGAAGTGCTGAAACCCTAGTTCATCATCTGTAAGTTTTGCACCAGTAGCTCCAGAACAGACTGTGGAACATGATTTAAATGTTATCTAGTGAGAATGTAGAAAAATGGGTCAAACTTTGTTTACTGAGATTGTCAATGGACGGCTGTGAGAACCAGTGAGCTGTGATTGCCTTTACAGATAAATAAAATGGTGTTCAAATTATTATTTAGTCGTTTGGCTTCATACTGAAGTCCCACACTGCTCTAGGGGATCACTTGCACTGCAGTCAGGCATTGCTTTCCTCCTTCTCAAATGACCATGTAGAAAACACGTGGGGGCCGATTATGTAATTTACTTAGTTACGCCATTTGCCGTGTTAAGCTTAGGCTTGTTTTAATCCACTTGGCACCTATAGGTACAACCAGTGCATTATATAGTGGAGATCTCAAGTTTATAGTTAGATCTTCATGACCTTAAGTTAAAAAAGGTTCAAAGCTGGCTTCAGTTTGTTGTTTTTGTTTTTTTTTACTTACCACAAGCCATATGAAAAACCCCATTTCCAGTAAAATCCTATGCATATGCATTTCAGGCCAAATCTGTCCCTTATCCGCAGTCACGAGTACACTTTGAATTGGAAAACATTCAGATGTTGGTTTGACCAGTACTTATTTGCCTTTTGATATCAGATAATAATCCCAGATCACCATAGAGCCCATCGTAACAGCAGAGGTTGAGTTGGCCTGTTATTTATTCTGTACAAATCTGATAAAGAAGGGAGGTCAAATACTGGAGCCAGAACAAGAAATGATCTCTTTGCACAGGAAAAGAAGACTGTAAGTGTTTACAATAACACTGGAAATGTTTCTTTGGTGAAACCCCTCATATGAGCTGTGACATCCCCAGTTTGTTAGGTATTTCAAGAATATACTGTCATTTATGGTTTTATATAAGTGTGTCCTGAAATGAGCAGTATATACATTAAACCTGCTCAGGCTGCGGACCACTCTTCCTGGAGGAAACCACTTCCTGACTTGGAGCAGCCAACCTCTCCCCAAACAATGAGTCATGGTAGAACGTGAGCATTTCTGAAACAGGCAGTGTAAACCTTTTTTTGCCGATAACTTGTTTATTTATGTAATTTAGTATGATGATCTTTTTTTCACCTTTTGCATCTTCTAATGCGGTTTCCTTTTCTCTTCCCATGTGGGCTCCTGCAGAAATTGGAGGAGGAAAAAGGCAAAAAAGAAAAGGAACGCCTGGAGCTGGAGAGAGAAAGGAGGGAGAGAGACAAAGAGCGGGAGCGGGAGAGGGAGCGCCGCGATCGCGAGAAAGAGAAGGAAAGGGAGAGAGAGAGGGACAAGGAGCGGGAAAGAGACCGGGACCGCGACCGTGAGCGAGAGAGGGATCGTGAACGCGAGAGGACGAAGGAGCGGGAGAGGGAGAGGAGTCGAGATGTCAGTGAAGCTCGCAGCAGATCGAGGTCAGTTCTAATGCAAGATGGTTTGTTCTGGCTCACACACAAACGGTTGTGACTCATCTAAAGGGCCTCTTAATTCTAACAGTTTGGAAAAGGTCGTTGGCTCCAGCTGTTTCTTACAACAGACCTCAAGGTCCACTCATAAGTTTCTCCACATGTGTTATGACTTATCAATGCATGTGGCAACATAATTTATTATCTGTGATTTAAAGATATGCTAGATATGAATTCTTGTTCCCCACTTTAGGGCTTTGTAAGTTTTTTTGTTTTTGTTTTTGTTTTTTTAACACTACAATGAAAGACTCATTTGGTAGCTGTAAATGAAACCAATGAGGATTTGTTGGAGGCAGTTAAGGAACTTTTTATTTTTGGGGAGTGTTGTGTTCAGTTGATCATTTGTAGAAAATATCCATATCACAAAATAACTAATGAAAGCACTGTAGTGAAATGTATTCAGCAGTTGGCACTGGCTATGGGCAAATACCCTTGAAATGATTGCGTTTCAACTTAATTTGATATAAAGATGAACTTCACAGATCAGTAACCCATTATTATTTTAACAGAGAGAGGTCCAGAGACGATAAAAAACGAGACCGCGAAGAAGATGAGGAGGACATGTATGAGCGGCGGAGACTTGAGAGGAGGCTTAGAGATAAGGAAGCAGCTTATCAAGAAGTATGTTTATCATCTCTCCCATTTTGATTTGATGAAATGTTCATTTAAATAACTGCACATAAGCAAATTACTGTTAATGTTTGACAGATTACTGATTGGAATTTCTTTTCTGTGCCTTCTTAAAGCGGCTGAAAAATTGGGAGGTCAGAGAGAGGAAGAAGGCCCGTGACTATAGCAAAGATGCTGAGCGAGAAGAAGAGAGGCGTCGTGAAATGGTATATAAGAATGCATGCCACGCTGCATAAAACGAGTTTTAGACTATTTATTATTTCAGATATGTGGAAACAGAAGGCTTGATTTACTGTTTACTGTTTCATTTTGTGCATAAAATCAGATGAAAGAAGCCAAAAGGCTCAAAGAGTTCCTTGAAGACTATGATGATGACAGGGACGACCCAAAATACTACAGGTGATTATGTTAATTTGCATTTTAAAATGTTTTAATGCTTTTAATGCCTTTTGTCATTACTTAACGTTAATGCTAATCTTTTTATTTTTTATTTTTTTAGGGGCAGCGCATTGCAGAAGCGTCTTCGTGACAGAGAAAAGGAAATCGAGTTGGATGAACGTGACCGGAAGAGGGAGAAGGAGGAGCTGGAGGAAATTAGACAAAGACTTCTCGCTGAGGGTCACCCTGATCCTGATGCTGAATTACAGAGAGTAAATCCACCTGGAACTTTCCCTAACCTCTGACAAAGACATTTGATAGACTCAGAGATCTTTAGTTTGTTTTGCAGAACTACAGCTTTTTTGCTTGTTCTGCAATGATGTTTGTGCATTTAATATTAATATGCCAGTCCACCAGTCAACAACAATATCCTGAGGTTGCTTAATGTGTTACATATTTGTGTAGATGGAAGAGGAAGCAGAGCGCAGACGACAGCCACCTCTGAAACTTGAACCGGAGGAGGATGTGAACCAGGAGAAAACTCACAAGGAGCGGGAGAAGAGGGGGTCCGGAAGGCCTGTGGAGCCGGAGCCTCAAGTTCCCCCGCAGCATTCAGATGACGATGTGGAAGAGGCAGATGAAGATGATTACCGCGATGGCGAGGACTCACAAGAAGCCAAGCCGCAACTCAAACCCGCCATGCGACCAATCACCACTGCTCCCTCTGTGTCTTCTGCCAGTGGAAACGTTACTCCAAACACCCCTGGAAATGAGTCTCTTTGTGGCATCATAATTCCAGGCGAGAACACTCCAGAGGTCCAACCTCCAGAGGAACACCGGCCCAAGATTGGCCTCAGCCTCAAGCTGGGTGAGTACAGCAACGAAGCAAAACACGCATACAGATCTGTTGTTTAATGGCACTGCTTTTTCCCAGAGTAAATAGTATTTCCTGATGATTTTTTTTCCTCCTACAGGTGCTACCAACAGTCCGAGTCAGCTCAGCGCAGGAAAGCGAAAGAAATTAGCAACTGTGGACAGTGTTTTCAACAAGTTTGACGAAGAGGAGGCAGATGAGCAGCCTCGCAAAAGGAAACTGGTTCCACTGGACTATGGTGATGATGAAAAGAGTCTGGGGCTCGATGGAGCAGAAATTTCAGGGGCCAAAGGCAGCATTAACACAGAGGAGAAACGGAAACACATAAAAAGCCTTATAGAGAAGATCCCCACTGCCAGGCCAGAGCTCTTCTCCTATCCTTTGGACTGGGCAATGGTTGATTCGGTAAAAGGCTTGGCATATTTTGAAATTGCACTTATTTTCATAGCTTGATATTTTAGTTATTGGTTATGTTATGTTTTGTTTTGATTTTCTTTCCATAGACTCTGATGGATCGCCGCATTAGACCGTGGATTAATAAGAAGATTATAGAGTACATTGGAGAGGAGGAAGCTACATTGGTTGATTTTGTCTGCTCCAAGGTCAGTTATTATCCTTTGAAGTTTATCTGTATCTTTAAGCTTGTGGTGTTGAATTGTTGGGCTTGTTGCTCACTCTAGTTAATATTTTTCTTTTCTGATCAGGTAATGGCGCATAGCACTCCTCAGGGTATTCTTGATGATGTTGCTATGGTAAGTTGAACTTTGCCTGGATCCTAAGTCTTTAAACATCTTACATATGTAATCCATCTTTTGGGACTGAAATCCACTTGAATGGTCTGTACCACACATTGTCGATTAAGTGGATGACTAACCAACAAAAATGGAAAACTGTCAGTTTAAAACCAGACTGGTCTGTCTTAAAATGGTTGGTAACAGTCACATTGTATACATCTGCTGACTCATTGAATACCGGTACATTCAGCTTTGTAATATATAGTATGTTTAACTGAACTGTTTGTCTTTAGGTTCTTGATGAAGAAGCAGAAGTCTTCATAGTAAAAATGTGGAGGTTACTGATATATGAAACAGAAGCAAAGAAGATTGGACTGGTCAAATAAGTAAACACGACTCTGACTGACTTCCTGAGCTTTCAGTTCTACTGTCTGCAGTTTTCTGGTCCAGCAGACTGTGAACATGCCCACACGGCGCTCCATTCCATCGGCAAAGAGCTGGTGTGTGTGTGTGTGTGTGTGAGTGTGTGAGTGTGTGAGTGAGTGAGAGTGTGCGTGAGAAAGTCAAAATTGTGAACTGAAAGGGTTTGGAAACTAATGTGCTGCATGAAAAAAAAAACTTTGGTTGTAATTCTTTTATTTGTTAGTGCCGTTCAGGAGGAATTTCATCCATCTGTTCTACAATGTGTTGGACACATTCTGCTTTAATTTGGTGGTGTTGTTTGGAGGCACTACTCCATTGTGTGAACTAATAAACATGCTTTTTTAAAAAAAACAAAAACATACTGTTTTTGTTGATTGTGTTGTTAATTATTATTAGCTGTTTTTGAATTATGAGATTATTTTCAAACACCAAAACTTAATTGGGGTCACTTCCATATACAGATGTGATTACTGCAGTAAATGTATGTACCTGGTTTACGCCTTCTGACCCCTATTCTTCTCAATCACCTCTCAAAGGAAACATCTATAGTGCTCTTTGTTGGCATGAAGCCATACTTATATTTTCTGGTCACCACCTTTTTTACTTTATTTCGATGCAAATAGGTTAGCTTTTATTATCATCTTATTATCTAGACAAAGCATATGATAGGATGCCCGGAGAGGAACTGTGATATTGCATGTGGAAGACTGGAGTGGCGACGAAGTACCTGATAGTGGTGTAGGACATGTATGAGAGAGGGTGAGAGTGGGGTGCCACATCAGGGTTCAGCACTGAGCCCTGTCCTTTTTGCGATGGTGATAGGCAGGTGGAAAAACAAGGTCAAGCAGCAGTGTCTGTGGACTATGATGTTTGCAGATTATGTTCCCTGTTCTCCCTACTCTGTAGTAGGAAGCAGGTGGAAGCGAGTTTTGGGGAGAAGAGCAATGATAGAAGTAAGGGACTGTCAGTTAGTTGGACATGTACAAAGAAGGGATAGTAGGTATACTGGAAAAACGATGATGAATATGGAGTAGCCTAGCAGGAGAAGAGCAAGACCACAGAGGAGTCGAGGATGCAGTGAAGAAAGACATGCAGACGGGTTATGTGAGAGGAGGATGTTAGGCAGAGGGTAATATGAAGTCAGACCATTAGAGCGAGTAGACGGAAAAAGATTCAAGAACCTTTATTTGTCACATGCATAGTTATAGGAGTACAACACCCTGTGGAAATGTGTCTTGACACGCTCCTCGACTGCAAAAAGAGAACATTATATACATTAAGTGAATATTATGTACATTAAGCAAATTAAATAAAACAATCTGGAAATTTTACATTGAAAATCGAAAAAAGTATTAACAATTTTCCTCCAGTGTATTATGTATTTATAGTCATATTTTACGTTTAAGTGTATTATTATTATTTGCAACAAATAACTAAATAAACAAATAGCCAAACAAATAAATTAAACTTTAAAAATCGCACAAAAATAAAAACTGCAAATTCTCTTACAGAATCTACTGTTGGTGTTTATTCTTGTTTTTTTCCCCATGTTTATGACTTGTTGCTAAAATTGTCACATTACTTCCTTATCTTTTCCAGCGAGTCTCGCGGATACGTGGCAGGTCGCCTAAACTCTGACCCGGAAGCACTTTGATCATCTCCAAACAAGAAGATGTTCAGTTAGCCGGTGTGTTGACGCTAATCGAATCGGGAAGTTGCAATATTATTCTGACAACTGGACTTGACAGAAAATATGCGAAGTATCAGTTGTTTGCACTGGACGGTTACCGTTTCCGGGTTTCTTTTTCATTAATATCGAAAGGCATATACATACTGACGCTAGTTAGCTTAGCTTTGACTGCGTTACCGAGGCCAGTGAGCGACACACTGACCAGTTATAAAGTGGATGTTTAGCACCAGACCGGGTTGGTACCGAAAGTGGGTCGTGACGTGTATTGAATTAACCACCAAAAAACTAATGTTCTTGAACTTTACCGTCACGAGCAAAGGTCCGTGCTAAAAGCGCAGGTGGAGGTTGGGTTTGATGGTATAGCTTAGCAGTAGGTTAGCCGAAAAGAAAAGTGCAGTCATGGACGATTTTAGCTCCATCAGCCTGCTGTCCCTTGCGATGCTGGTGGGATGTTATGTGGCCGGGACGATACCTTTAGCGGTTAACTTCTCAGAGGTAGGTTTGTGACATACGTATGCATGTAGCTAACTTTAGCTACCAAGCTATCATAAAATGGACTGAACTTTCAAACAATAAGAAGCTACTGTGCTTAAGGTCTGGGTCTCTGACTCTGTTTAGGAGAAGTTGAAGCTGATCACTGTGCTGGGAGCAGGGCTGCTCTGTGGGACTGCACTTGCCGTGATCATCCCAGAAGGGGTCCACGCACTTTACGAAGAAATCCTTGAAGGTAGGGTTCCTTGGGGGAGATGGAAGGTTTGCTCAGATCATGAATGGACAGACAATTAAGAATTAACTACTGTATCAATAATTGTAAGACAACGTAATAGTCATGATTTTTTACGGACTGCAATATCTTTGGATTTTGCACGTTTGAAGATAAGCTCATTCGGTTATTTTAGTCTATGGCTCAGAAAACTAGTAATAATGCCTTTCACAATCAGCCAGGATGTGCTACAGCTCTTAGAAATACGTGTTCCTTAAGCTAAGAAATACATGGATGAGTTGCAAAGCTCAGGGCATCCACTGTCATATTGGTTTATTTCTAATGTACAGTGTGTTTCAGAGGCTGCCATGGTGAAATGGTCAGATAAACATAAATAAGTGATAAACGTCTCTCCTAATCCAATAGTAGATAGATTAAATTAGTTAGCCGGTTAATTATCAAGAAAGGACACCAAGTTTTCCCTTTGTGTTGTTTTGCTGCTTTTCTCTTTGATGCGTAATTTAAATGTAATCTTTCTTGGGTTGGTAGTCAGACAAAACAAGTTGTTTAAATACTTCCAAAAGGGATCACAATTTCAAATGAGAAGCAAATTGTTTTGCCCCCACCACACACAATTTTGGCTGCTTCCTGTAAGTTAAGAAAAAAAAAATCTTGTTAGAAGACCTTGAGCTAATAATTGTTTTGTGTTGCTGATGAAATGTATTTATTTATTTTATCTGTTACTTGAATAAACTGTACAAGGTGACATACTCGTACTGTTTGTTTTGTTTGACTGTCAATACAAAACCCAAAGATATTCCGGCTTTTCCATCATGTTGAATCAACTTGTTAATTTCTTTTATGTACATTTAACAGCAATGTAGATTAAACAGTTGATTGAACCTTTTTACAGATAATTATATGTTACATAATTGATTAGTCATTCTACTGAAAGTAGTGAGTAATTGTAACTTTCAGGGGTGCATCTTTCTTGAGTGTCTGTTCTTTCCTCATTTCCTGTCAGCTTCTTATTTTATGCACTTTATAATGCAAAATCTAAAATAGTCTTTAGATGTTTGTGACAGCGCTAGATTCCTTCATGCTTGCAACAGGCTTAAACTGAAATATACCAGAGGAAAATTAAGTAGAGAGCATGTAGACCAATGATATGTGCTTGTGTACATTGTAACAGTCTGTATGAATTTTATTTAAACAGAGGAAAGTAAAGTGCAACATCATGAAATCAGTTTCTGACTTATTGTCATTTCCATATGAGTATTTATAGCAGTATTTATGATGGTCTCTGTGCTGTGTGATGGAATTTTAATTTTACATTTCTTTGGTTCTGATGCATTAACGTATTTGCGTCTTTATCAGACCATTTTTCTGCTGATTTTTCTCTTTCAGCAGGTGGACACCACAGTCACGGCCAGTCTGCAGTTGCAGAAGCTTCCGAGGGAAAGGGTGAAGCAGAGGCAGCTCTTAGTGCTGGTGGGAAGCATGAGCACAATCAAGAGCAGCTCCATGCCTACATTGGAGTGTCTCTGGTTCTAGGCTTTGTCTTTATGCTACTGGTGGACCAGATAGGTAGTTCTCATGTTCACAACACTGAAGGTAAGCATTCAAATAGCCTTAGCCAGAGTTGGTTTGGGAAAAGCAGCAAAAGCAGCTTCGTCATTAGTCTCTTCGCGTCTTATTCTCCTTGAAAAATAAGATTGAATTAAACCCAAAACACATCCAAATGGCTCAACTGCTAATTCTGTTTTCCCAGATGCACCCACACTCTGCACTGAACAATTTTAGAGATCTTTATTTAAGCTGATAATACTCTTCAAAGTCTGCCAATGTTGTGGTGCTGTTTAACTCTCAGTGTGGACATAGTGGTCCATCAAGATTATTGATTTGTTTCCTTGCCACAAACTGTTTGAGTTGTGTATTTATTTATTTATTTATTTATTTTTGTTTGGTTTAGATCCAGAGGCAGCAAGAGTTGCTTCCTCCAAAATCACCACCACCCTGGGGCTTGTGGTCCATGCTGCAGGTAGGTCTGATTTAATATCTTCTGATAATGCTACTGTACACAAAATAAATATTAAATTATATTTAATATTAAATTATATTAATTAATGATATTAATATTTAATCATAAATATTAAATATGTATTTACATTTGGTGGAACTCATGAAAAAGATGTAATTTTATTCTGTACCTGAGTTTGTGTTACTTCAGAATACTATGAATTTAATTAAGCTTTAAATTGTTTTAATTTGCAAAATGTATACACAAATGTTACTTTTCAGTTCAAACAGTATTAGTTTCAGATTTTATTGCTGTTTTAATGACGACTCATTGCTTTTAAGTGTTCCAGTAGTTACTGTACCTTTCTGTTTTTTTTGCCTGCAGCTGATGGTGTTGCATTGGGTGCTGCTGCCTCAACCTCTCAGACCAGCGTTCAGCTCATTGTCTTTGTAGCCATCATGCTGCATAAGGTAAATATACATCATATATAATGCAGTCAGTGGTTGATTTTTTTTGTTTGTTTGTGTGTATACGTATACTGGCATCTTAAAAATAAAGTTTGCACAGGCCTGTGAAAAACTAACAAGCCCAGTGATTCAGTAACTTGTAGAACTATCTTTAGATGTGATAACTTCAGTAATTATTTTCTGTGTGACTTTATTAGTCTCTCATAGATTTGCAGGATATTTTCCATGTTGAGGTCTGGACTTTGCAACACTTTGATTCTTTTTTTTTTTTCAGTCATTCTGTTGCATTTTCCAGTGTCTTCCAAGCTTTAGTTGTCAGACAGATGGCCTTACATTTGACTCTTGAATACTTCGATTTGTTTACCAATGACTGCAAGGTGTCCAGGTCCTGTGGCTCCAAAACAAGTCCAAATCATAACTTCTCCACCACCCTTCTTCATTGTTTGTATGATCTGTTTTTTTTCTTGATATGCTGTGTTTGATTTTCTCCAAAACAATGTGGCGCTGTGCATTATGGCCAGACATCTCCACTTTAGTCTTGTCTATCTAAAGGACATTGTTCCAGAAGTCTTGTGGGTTGATCGGATCCAATTTTGGTAACTTAAGCAAGGCTGCCATGTTCTTTTTAAAGAGAAGATTCCTTCTGTTAGCAACCCTTCCACAGAGCCTAGACTCATTCAGTATAGGTTCTGTGTTTAACATTTAAAATTGTGACTGAGGGCTGTAGAGTCTGAGATGTAGCTCTTGGGTTTGTTTTTTTTTTGGGTTTTTTTGCAATCTATCTGGGCACTGTACAGTCTGACCCTGAGATGAATTTGCTGTGTTGTCTATGTCTAGGAAGATTGTCTGATATCTTGAATGTTTTCCTCTTGTGAATAATCATTGTCACTCAAGGATGATGGATATGTTTGCTTGTTGTTGTATAAAAATGGACCTACAAACAGTTGCTTCTGCTGCTGATCGCTGCAGAGGAGCAAACTGACAAAACAGCTGCATTTATAGAGGTGCTTACACTTAATGATGATCAATTACTACTACTCCATAAATCCTAAGGAAGCAGTAAGGGTGTCTTTAATTTTTGCAGGCCTGCAAATGAATTAAATTTAAGTACAGCTACTGAGTTTATAATACACAGAGGGTTTTTTCAGCATTAGTTTGCACATTAACTGGTAAAAGAATTGATTGTTGTTTGCTGCAGTAAATTGCTATATAAACTCTTCTGTTTTGTTGATTGTAGGCGCCAGCAGCATTTGGTCTTGTATCCTTCCTAATGCATGCCGGTCTCGAGAGAAATCGTATCCGCAAACATCTCTTGGTCTTTGCCCTGGCAGCGCCAGTCCTCGCCATGCTCACATTTTTAGGTCTCAGTCAGGTAATTATTATATTTTGGCACTGATCGGTTTTCATTTTGCTAGATGTTTAGTTTTCAGTGTTAACTGTTTGGTACAATACAGTAGTTTGAAGATCTAGATATCCAGCTGTCATCTTACTAGTCTGTATTGTGATTTGCACACTACTGCCCAAATACTACAAAGACATTATTTCATCAACATTGGAGTCACTAGAAAAGGAGAACTTTAAGCTTTACACTGTTCTTGTCTCTTCCCCTCTTAGAGCAGCAAAGAAGCACTGTCAGACGTCAACGCCACAGGTGTCGCCATGCTTTTCTCTGCTGGCACTTTCCTCTACGTGGCAACGGTCCA